TTACTTTTTATTTTTTTATTTATTTAATATAAAGCATGTTTGGATTCTGTTGTTTATAACTGTTTTCAACATTTTTTACAATTCCTGTAATTGTCATTCAATATTTTGAACAAATACATGAATAATTTCCGGAATTTAGAGTTATGTACCAAATACCGGTATTTTAGTCTCCGTATCACGATACATATCGCGCAATAAAAAATTGCGATATACCGGTATACTGATAAAATCGCACATCCCTAGTGGAGTCCTACATAAAACAGTGTAAAACATTGGTTGTGAAGTATTAAACATGGGATAAAAAGAATCTCACATGATTTGTAGTTGGATATGACTTTTATCCAACTCGTTGTGTGTTTTTATCCCCTCGCCAAGGCTCGGGGATAAAAAACACAACTCGTTGGATAAAAATCATATCCAACTACAAATCATGGGAGATCCTATATATATATTCTAATGCTATGTATACACCTTTTGTGTTGACCTTGATCCTCTCATCTATCATAATATATAATTAATTTTTCCAGTAAAGCTTTTTCAGAGAATGTCAAACCTCAAACTCAGTTTCAGTTGTTTTTAAACCCAATTGGTAAATGAATAATTCCATATTTAAATCTCAGTCTTAATAGATAAAGTACTTAAAAAAAATTTTGTGAACTTATAATAATGAGAGATATAATTTTGTTTTGAATGTTTTCCTTCTAAGAGGCCAATGGGTCATAATGCTAACCTGAGACATCCTTGCAGAAAAGTTCCTGTTCTAAGCCAAGCCAATAACTAAGATAATTAATGACAATATTTAGAAATTTATTTTGGAAACTACTGGGTTTTTTTTAATTTTGGATATTTCTATAAAAAAAAAATCTTTATATTTCAGGGGAAAAGTATTTATTCTTTATTTTCAATGCCCTATATATGTGTCAAATACAAAAAGAACAATTTTCTCAAAATCAAAATGCATTCAATGATTTTACTTTCTGTTAGAAAACAGACATCCAATACATTGTAATATTATTGCAATATAGCAATAGAGGTTGTAATTAAGTAATAAGATATGATTGCAGCCAATGCAGAGTTGGCGAAAGGCACCGGCCCGCCGGCGATCTCCGGTAAATTTCGTCTAAGTCCGATAGATTTTAGAACCACGTCGGACACCGTGTCTGGTAGATTTTTTCAGAATAATCAATAGTAAAATAATTAAAGAAATGAAATAATGCATTATTTTTCAAAACTTGTTTAGATGATCACATTGAAAATATTAAAAGTATTCAGTCGATTTAAATATTTTGGGAAATCAAAATAATATGATACCGGAACTTTCAATTTTAGTTTCTATCTAACGTTCATTTATATCCGATATTGAGGCGGCAATTAAACATGTGCTATGGTATGCTGTGGCCAATTAAATGGACAGAGTCGGTAAAAAGAAAGTCGGTGCCGAAAGCTGATACTGATAGCTCAAAAGAAAAGAATTTTTAACAAAAAGTGTAAAAATTTTAATGCACAGTGGATTAATGAAACACAGTGGCTAAGGTATGACGACGATACGCATATGATGTTTTGTGTGCCATTTACGACATTTATGGTAAAGTCCATTCAAGCATTGTTATTGATTGATGCATCTTAATTAAAATTCAGTTTTACATATTTTGTTGTTTTTTACATTTGGTCCGGCAAATTTTTAGAATGTCCTGTAGTTTTTGTGATTTTTTGACAATCTGTAGGACACTGTGTCCGACAGATTTTTTACCTCTTTCGCCAACTCTGCCAATGCAACACAATGCTCACTAAATGTACTTACATTTATATGTCAAAGTTTTAGATCTCTGATTTGATCTTGAAAAGACAAGGTTAATGTAGAGAATTTACAAAATATGTTACTTTTTTCAGTATAGTTCTTTTTTGAAACCTTTCATGTTGATAAATTTTGTGAAACATTACTTATCGCAAACTTCCACCAAAATCACGAGTGCTCCATACCCTCTACCAAAAAACGGCACAAAAATCACGAATGCTGCATATCCTCTATGAAAATTGTAGCATATCCTCTATCAAAATATGAGAGGGAAATCACAAATGTTCCGTACCCAAGTCAATTGGTAAAATTCGAGGCTGACTGGACTTAAGGGAAAGAAATTATGCACCGAACAAAGATTTTAAACAGAGAGGCTATTTTTGACCTTGACCCTTGACCTAGAAACTTCATTCAAGGTCACTGAACATCCATTGACCAGTGGCACTCTGTGAGTGAAGTATGAGCCACACTGGACCAAGGGGAGAGAAGATAGCTCCAGACAAAGATTTTTCATATAATTCTGCTTTGACCTTAACCTTAGACCTAGAAACATGGTTCAAGGTCACTGCATATCCTTTACCCAAAGGCACTCTGTAGGTGAAGTATGAGCCAGATTGGGCCCAGGAGAGAGAAAATATGCTCCAGACAAGAATTTAAACAGAGAGGTTATTTTTGACCTTGACCTAGAAACTTCGTTCAAGGTCACTGCACATCCATTGACCAGTGGCACTCTGTGAGTGAAGTATGAGCCACATTGGACCAAGGGGAGAGAAGATATGCTTTGGACAAGGATTTTTCATATAATTCCGCTATGACCTTAAACTTAGACCTAGAAACATGGGTTCAAGATCACTGCACACCCTTTACCCAAAGGTACTGTGTGGGTGAAGTATGAACCAGATTGGACCAAGGAGAGAAAAGATATGCTCCGTACAAGAGATCTCAGACAGACAGACGGACAGACAGACAGACTGATCACTATAGTGCGCTTGCAGAGCGGGGCCCTTATTATAAGATCAAAGCCATATTTGGATAATGATACAAGTTTATAATATCATCTTTTGATGACTACTTGTTTATGATATGGTACTAGGTTTACAATACATAAAAAAAGACTGCTGAATTAATTGCAACAGGAAAGCCACCCGCATGGTACAGTGGTTAGAGCTTTCATTCTATTTTCTCAAAGTAATGAGTGGAGACCAGTCCTTCAAATGAGACTTATAAACTGAGATCCTATATTGCAGAAGTTGCTGGTATGATAAAAATCCCTCACTGCTCAATGGTCAAAAGTGCCAAGTACAGGTCTAAATTTGTAACATTCCACCTGCAACTGGTGATATTCCAACATGAGTGAAAAATTCTTGAAGGGACATAAAACACACTAAACCAACCCACCAATGGCTGTGTGACCAACAAGGATGTCTGATGAAGCACAGTCTACCTTCGATCTCCTAGTCCTTTATATAATCACCAGGAAATGCAGACAGTGAGATCAATTCCTGGTTCTTGAGTAAACATCTTCAGTATCGGCAACATCAAATGTATTTCTTGAAAAGTTGCTTTTTAACCATGAATTCAATTGGAGGGAAGTCTACCTTGTGAACAAATATTATCAAAACTTTGTACCCTGCCATTTGTCACCCCAAATTCATTGTCAGCTAGTACTAGTCCCTTGTAGATCAAGTTGGAATAATTTTTATGACTATGATATATTTCCAAATTCCATTACAGGAGAGGCCTAGCTATTTTTTTAACAAGTTATCTACCTACTGACCTTTCATATCTCTTTTAAGAGCTGGTGAGTTTTCCTGGGGGTGCCAATCCCATTTTTCGCAAACATAATGAAATTGTGCAACTGTGATAGATGCATCTTGCCTGGTTTAAAATCTATAAAGTAGCACCTATCATTTCATATTATTACTTAATTGTTGCATCAAATTCAGCTATTTGTATGTGCTTTAGTGTGATTTGGCAAGCCATGGAAGTTTGTAGCAGACACTAAGCAGTAAAAAGATGCAAGGAGACTATTCTGTGTGGGTTATTTGCAGACTAGCAGTATTGATTTTGTAGTTTGTGAACCACTTAGACCAAATCCCAGACATTGGGAAAAACAAAATGCAAATAGAAGCAACACCTTCCACAAGACATCATACAACAGAACATTATGTAACCAAAAATTATATTAAAAGCAGATTGCAAAATATTATTAATAAGCTTACTTAACTGCCTTTGATATTCAAAATACATAAAACTTTTTTTATGTAGCAGGGTTGATAGATGACTGAATATTATTTGCTAAATTAAGCTTAATATATTTATGTGATTTTTCATGTAAAAAAAAAAAATCACTGCTAGTGCCCCCCCCCCCCCCCCAAAGAAAATCATTTCTTTAACCCTGACAGGACATCACAGTTACCTTGCAAATTTTTTCTGCATATTTCAAAGCACACACACACACTTTTAGGAGGGGGCATGTTAAAGGCTCAGTAGATAAGATTCATTTTTCACTTTATATTCACTGCACAATTGTATAATCTATATGACAGCTGAGATTATTTATATCATTTATTTATTCAAATCACTGAAAGTTATCAATAGTTCAAGGTCACTCAATTGCCATCAATCAGTGCTTTACAATCCTAATTCATGATGGCTTCATTTCCACCCACTAACAGAGTTCATAGATTTACAAAATCACAATAAATAATACTGATATTGTTTTGGTACCAAAAGCTACTTGGAGCATATATTATCTCCAGGAAGTTAAATAAGTTACATTATCATGTAAACTTTAGCATGTGTGTTTGATTCATCATCAGTTCTCTTCCATTACAATCCTAGCCATAAAGGTCTGGGTGGGAGGTTTTGTGAAAGATCATTTTATGGTGTTAACAGAAAGATCTGAAAAGGTGCCAAGTTTTGTGTTCATGGAGTGCTGTAAGATTAAATGTTATATGTACATGTAGCAAGTAAATCTATTCATTGTATATCCTAAACGGGGTAACACTTAGATTCCAGTGAACATAACAAAATATACCAGGGTATTTGGTATACTCACATTAATAAAAGCATGCAAAAAGCTGAGAAGAAAATTGACATGTATTTACATGAGAGTGCTAAACTTATACAAGATGTGAAACAGTACATATTTTATGCATGCATTGTTTAGAATAATAATGGATTTTTTTCTTCATATACTTACCAGTTGATAAAGGAACTCTTTCCAGCTGAGTGATTGCCAATAAGGAGGACTGAGATCTTCTTTCTGGGTGCAAGTAATGTCAAGTCCAAACTCTCTGCTATCTTTATAAGGCCTTTAAGATGGTACAGAAAAAAATGTCACACTTTTGGAAAGTGCACTCAATGTATCAATAAACTTTATTACTTGAAAAACCCTCACATTCTAAAATGAGGTGGTGGTGGAGGGCAGTATGGGGGTGGGGAATTGATCCCAAACTGTGTGAGAATCAAGAAATTTCAATTACAATTTATAATACAACACTGCCACATAACATTTATATTCCTAAAATTGTCCATATGGCATTAATTGCTTTTTTGATCATACATTTTGCGTCATATTTTACAATTCAACAATTTAAGCATCGATCAATCCATATATATTATAGGATAGTACTCTCTTTCCCTATGCATCTTAACAAACAGACCCCCCCCCAAAGTGTTTTCCCTTTATTTCAAAAGTAATGGGTTAGGGATCAATTGCAACAGGCTTTAGGTTGAGGTTTATGACAAATCTCTGTGGACCTTACAGCAATAAAATTTTGATTTTTTTTTTAAATTTCAAAGCAGCATTTTATTTCAACTGAATCAGTTAATTTGGCTGGTAGCCAGTTCTTAGGACCCCCCCCCCCCCCCCCCCAAGAAAAAAAAATCATACATAGAGAATATCCTTAAATCGATCCTGTTGCTGAATGGAAAGTGATTGCATCACTAGTTTACACGAATGCATACATGTATATAATGCTTCAGTTCCTGTTTCAGATTGTCTCTTGCCTTTCAAAATATCAAATCCTACATCCTTCTGTGGAATGAGATGAATATACAGATTATCTTGATCATTGTGAACTTTTACACACAAGCACTGTCCAAGATATAGGACATTCTGCTTTCAGGGAGATTTAAATTCCATTTTGCCATGTAGAAAAGTATATCAATATAAATTATGACACATTTTCCTTCATTTGATACTCTAATTACACCATGAACCTTTGATAATATAAAAGGACTAAACAATACATCTAGGGTACATTTTTAGGATGGGGTGGGGTGGGGGGTTACTGTCTAGTTGTTAGGTGTGCCCACACTTTGTTTCCAATATATACTATGATGATTTTATATTCTTTTGTGAATGCTTCACCGTCACATTAAATGAAGCTGTTTCTAAATAATTTTGAAATCCTTTAATACCAAGTGATCGAATTTTTTTTAAACATATTTATTTTAAGTATTTGGCAATTCAGCAAATCACATCTTTCCACCTCATGAATTGTTGACTTGTGTTCACACCCACATGACTCAAAATGTTGTATACTCACCTGTGACACTGCATGTGAACAAAGAGGGAGACTTTTCCATTGATTTTTTTACTCAGATTGATAAATGACTGTATTACATTTATAATCACTGTGAAAATTTTCAAGAAAATATCTTGTGAAGACAGCTATTTGAAGGTCATACAGTACTATGAGTCATCATTCATCCAGACACATTCACAACCTGCTGCAATGATGCATCAACTCATCGATCCCCTTTCTTTTTTTTCATTGTTCTTGTTCTTTCCAGATTTTTTATTCTTGAAATCCTGCCAAGATGTCACCAAACAAGTACTTTTTTCGCCATGAGTGACCACGTCAAAATAAAGAAAACTGCATAGACCAGTCTGAATTGATCAGACAGGATTATATTTAGAACATGCTCGGCGGGGTCAATCCAGTATTTGGACAGGTCTTTAATAAAAACTCCTTTAACAACAATTTTCTTTGGCAAGTTTAAAGAGATGCTTTTCATCTCCACAAATTAAAAAAAACACACTGACAGAAAATTCAAGAAAAATCTCGAATATCAATTCTCAAAACGTGAAAAAGTGCCGAGTCGGCTAAATGAATGAAATGACGGAAATTCACCGGCCCATGCCCTTGTGAATTGCATAAGTAATTTTTAAAACGATGTCTGCTCTCAATGAAAGAAAACTTGCTCACCATTATCCGGGTCTGTGTAGAGGAAATGACATTCTTTAAGAATCTTCTCGTTGGTGGACTGAGTCGACGAGTCCGCGGCAGTCGCCGACGATTTCTGCTTAACTTTGCCAGACATCACACAGCTCCTGTCAAGTCGAGCAGACAGTTTATTAGGTCCGACTGGATGTTATACTTCATTTCCGAGAACAGGAAGCGACTTTATACGCACTTTGATACAAAATAATGTACGCAGATATAACACAACTACGCTAATATTTGTTTGTTTACTTCTTCAAGTCTAACATCTGAATTTTAATATTCAGAGAAGATGAAATATGTTCACCGAAACTATTTGTGTATATTTAGGGATTTTGCAATATTTTTAAAAAGACCCTTCGGTTCTCAATTCCACGGCGACTTCCGTCAGCTGATCGGAGAATGATCCGAAGTAAAAAGATGCTGGGAAGATGTTTTATTCAATGAAATATCGATTACTCCTTCATATAAAGCATGAATTTTACCACAAAAGCGTGTCATCTATTATTTTCATGTATATAACTATTATTTCACCGTACTTTCCGATGACGATGCACAAGCCGGTATTATCGACGAATCCTATCAAGTATACGATTTACTTCGAAGCTGAGGTAAACAAATATGGCGTCTCTTGTACCTAATTATGGTAGTGATGAAGATTCGTCTTATACGGATTCAGATGATAATGTCACAATATCAACGACGTTAGTATTAATTCATATTTAGATAAACTTCTATATTACTGCCATATACAATGCATACCTGCATTTGAGGTGGCACATAACAGAAATAATTATAAATTGTCAACATTGTCATTCTTAAAATATGAACAACTCAACAAATGAAGACGAAAAGCGGTTTTCATGAAACTGTTTTATCATTATCATGGCTAGTCAGTGTAGGAATAGTATTTAGTCTCAGTTCTAGTTCATCTTAGTACTGAAACATAACCTGTATGTGATAATGTCACTGTCATGTTTGAAGGTGCGACTGCAACCATTGGGATAAGCGCATTTTTATTATCACATACTATATATACAGTAGATATACTATACTAATATGCTTTACGGTCCCACTGGGCTGAACACAGTTGTATACTAAAAAAACTTTTACATAACAAAGTTTATACTTTAAATTTTGATCCGGCTGCCTCTTCGAACTTCAAAGCTCATGAGATAGTCATACTGCGACACCACATGATGTCGTATCTAAGTTGCATTTCCATAACTGAGTCTAAATAGGCCTTTTGCAATTTTGTAACAAAAGGCATTGTAGAGAAGATGCAATTATTTTTAGTCTTGTTTAAGTTCTTGCAGATTTAAATCAACGACGTTAGTATTAATTCATATTTGGATTCGCCATTATCGCATGAAATCCTGGTAGCAATGGAATTCTGAAAAGGTTTCACAAAAAAATTTGCATTGAAAAATCAGAAGTTTTTGAAACAGCTCCATTATAAAGTAACTTAAAGTCATATCTTTACCAAACTTGTATGAATGTTGTAACGAGATTTACTAGACATACTTTGGATGCTGCATCAAACTAATAATTTATTTTTCTTTTTGGATGAGTGAATATAAAGCAGGTTTATTGGTTTATTCCCCAGTGACTGTTAACTTTACCTAGCCCAAACTTGCATGGTTGTTTAGGGTTGCACTCAATCAGACTTGCTTTAGATGCTGTGTCTGACCTACATTTTCTGGAAATTCACTGTAGATTCTTGCATATATTGAGCTGATCATTTTTTTTTAAAGTGAGTCTTGAGAAGTTAAAGATCAGGTTCACATTTTTTTGGACAGATTTTTGATGGAATTACAGCCTATACCATTTGGAGATTCAGTATTTAAATCCTTTTCAGATTTTCACTATTAATATTATTTAGCAACACTTGCACTTGCTATGTCACAAAGGTTCTTCAAGAACAACTGCAATTAATAAGACATTTAATTTCCAACTTCTGCCCGATATATCATGTCAGCACAACTCAAACACCATCTTACTTCCTCTATCATGATAATGTTAAGAATATATTTTACACAATTGTTTCACTAGATTTGCATCCCCCCTTACTGCACCTGAGATCTGAGCATATTTTACAGCAAACTGGAGTGTAAAACCAATTTAATTTGTGCAGTGAAATGATTATTCAATGATGTTTTAGACATATGAAGGACATTTAAAAATTTCCAAGAACTGTTTTATAAAATATTAAACATTTAACGGAAGTTGATGTGTTTTATACTCTGAGGGACTGGTCTTGCAATCAATCTTTGTTGTGAACCCACCTCTGCTGCTGTAGTAAGCACAATACTTCATGTACAAATCTGATGAAACAGAAAAATTAACTTTGAAACATACTGCACTGAGCATTGATCATGGTTTCAAATTGTGACATCTCCAGATAAGATGAGCAGTAAATATTGAGACTGAATTATTTTGAAAATCTATTTGAAAATGTTAGTGTTAGGGATGGGTATCGGCAACAATTTTGTATTGTGATATATCACGATTTTTTCCCACAAATATCAGGATAAATTGTGATATTTTTACACACAATTTTTACTAATATTTCAAATGAATTTCCATAATATTTCTTAAAAATATGCTATAAAAACATTAACTTTACTTTATAAATCTTTATTTATTTAATATAAAGCATGTTTGGATGCTGTTGTTTAACTGTTTTGAACATTTTTTACACTTTCTGTAATTGTCATTCAATGGTTTGAACAAATAAATGAATAATTTCTGGAATTTTTAGTTATATGTACCAAATACCGGTATTTTACTCTCCGTATCACGATTCATATCACGTAATGAAAAATCGCATCCCTAGTTAATGTACGATTGATATACTATAAAAGCAGAAATATTCATTTAGGATTAAATATTGTAACAGTTGTTAACAGTTATCAACGAAACTAAATCCCACATGATTTTTTATTGTCAATGGATAGAGTTGCTTTCAAAACAACAAAATTTAATGACTACAAAACTGTTTTAAATGATAATTCATTGAAATTTTATCCCCATGAAAATTTGTGCTTCTACAGTTTTTTTAATCAGTAAGAGCATTCACTCAATAGAGTGCTGCATTCAATTTTGTAATCTAATTCATTTCCTTATGTTTATAATATTATGTGTTCAGTAGAAGTCTTTGTCTTCTTCTGTTACTATCTTGTTTAACTACTTTTAACATGTAAACCATTGCATTTAATTGCTTTTGACAACCAGAGTTGGATGTATATAGTTAATGGTGCTTACACAGGCAACTGTCACTGGTTAATATGTAAATAAAGGTGGACTTCATTATTTCGAACACCAATATCTAGAAAACCAGGAATATGTTGAAGTGAGTTTGCAGCCCCAAAACCTTTATGTTTTTTATCCTTGTTACATGTATCTTGGATCCTTGGATATCTCAATTTTAAGTTTAATCTTGGTCTTGTAGATTTTGAGATAACTAGGTTTGACTGTACATATCTAGGAAAATGTCAGGATAGTACTCACATAATTTAATTTTATTCACTCCATTTTCTCAGGGCACAGAAAGAAACGGAAGACAAAGCAAATCAGAACTTTTTTGATGCTGGTGCAAGTAGTTCAGATGAAGATGACAAAGAGGATGTAAAAACTGATGATAAAAACCGTCTTCCTAATCCAATGCTAGGCAGTCTCCCTCAACCAGTGTTTGATGCAGACAATGAGAAGGAATTACTTTCTGTGTTCACAAATCCTTACGAACAGGCAGAGCAAGCTAAAAATACTGTTCTTGAAAAACATGTCAAAATGGTCGAGAGGAATATTCCAAAAGGAAAAGCTGGGCAAGTCTGCTTTAAATACAAGAAAGGAAAGTGTCCGTATGGGAAAAATTGTAGATATTCTCATGACTTGAGTTCAGAACTGATTTCAAAACCACCAGCAATGACGGAGGAAAAGTCAGTGTTTGATTTTCATCACCACTCTGTTACTGTGCAAAAAATTGAACCTGAGCTGGAAGATGATGACAATTATATGGCAAATGCCAAAAGGAAAAAAAGGTCTGGAATTACTGACAACTTATTGCCTCCAAAAAGAGCTCTAAAATCATTGGATAAACAAAGACAAACTGAACGGCCATGGACTGTTTCTGATAAATAAAATTGATAGTTTTCTTAAATTGTGTTTGTCATATGATGTAACCACAAATTCATAATGGTAAATTATGCCATATACTATTACAGTGCAATAAAATTTACTCTATATTTACAGCATTACTACATGTTACTGATATTAAATATAGTAAACAGTGAGAGAATAATATTTACATGTCAACTTGAAACAGTTTCTGAACAGACTTCATTACCATAGGAATAAGTTAATGTTATGCTCTTTTTTATTTGGGGAAAATGATTTTTCAGTTTTTCTGTAGCTGAAAATTCTATCATTTTTAGCTCATCTCAACAAAGTTGGGAGGATCTAATGTAATACCCTTGGCGTCAGCGTCCCAGGTAAAAGTTTTTGGAGCAGATTTTTTTTCAAGTACTTCTATGCCTTATATTTATCAGAGATGCATGGAAGATGCTTCCTAGTATGTATCATTGTACCAGTAAAGGTTTCAAATGCCACAATTTCAGCTAAAAATTGACCAGGTTAAATTTTTGGAGCAGGTTAAAGTTTTAGGAGCAGATTTCATTTCCTACCAACTAACAGCCCTATATTGACTAAACTTGCATGGAAGATACATCTAAGGATGCACAGTGCACTACTAGGCTTGCTTCAGATGCTGGATTTGACTACATTTTACGGATGAGTAACCAGGTTAAAGTTTTGGAAGCAGGTTCATTCAAAAGTAACTACATGTATAAACCCTACATTGACTAAACTTTAATGGATGATACATTAAAGAGTGAATATCAGGCTTGCTTCGGATGCTGGAACTGAACATCTTTATCTGGATGAGTGACCAGGTTAAAGTTTTTGTAGCAGGTTCATTCTAAAGTAACTATTTGTCCTACCTGGACCAAGCTTGTTTGGAGATACATCTAAGGATGCACACTACTGGACTTGCTTCAGATGCTGAATTTGACTTACATATTCCAGATGAACAAAGAAGTTTTTGGAGCAGTTTCTTACTAAAGTGACTATAAACCCTATTCTAACCAACTTTGCACTGAATATACA